TTAGCATTTAATTCAATTCCCAATCTCATTTGGGCCATGAAATTATCAGATAAGCACATTACATATATGAAAACATGAATAATTTTTTACCCCGACCGGGACACGAACCTAGGACTTATGATTACTAAGTCAAGGCGCTACCACTACACCACAGAAGGTTCAAAGGAATCCAACCTTATAAATTATATCTGCTATACTTAGTAATGAATGCATTCTAACTGAATGCCACTATGTTCATATTACAGATTCCCAAGCCTCACTCGTGGCTTCATTTTAGTATTTAATTCAATTCCCAATCTCATTCGGGCCATGAAAATATCAAATAAGCACATTACATATGTGAAAACATGAATTAATTTTTACCCCGACTGGGACTCGAACCTAGGACTTATGATTACTAAGTCAAGGCACTACCACTACACCACAGAAGGTTAAAAGGAATCCAACCTTATAGCTTATATCTGCTATACTTAGGAATGAACGCATTCTAACTGAATGCCACTATGTTCATATTACAGATTCCCCAACCTCACCCGTGGCTTCATTTTAGCATTTAATTCAATTCCCAATCTCATTTGGGACATGAAATTATCAAATAAGCACCTTACATATGTGAAAACATGAATCATTTTTTACCCCGACCGTGAGTTGAACATAGCACTTATGATTACTAAGTCAAGGCGCTACCACTACACCACAGAAGGTTAAAAGAAATCCAACCTTATAGCTTATATCTGCTATACTTAGGAATGAATGCATTCTAACTGAATGCCACTATGTTCATATTACAGATTCCCCAACCTCACTCGTGGCTTCATTTTAGCATTTAATTCAATTCCCAATATCATTCGGGCCATGAAATTATCAAATAAGCACATTACATATGAGAAAACATGAATCATTTTTTACCCCGACTGGGACTCGAACCTAGTACTTATGATTACTAAGTCAAGGCGCTACCACTACACCACAGAAGTTTAAAAGGAATCCAACCTTATAGCTTATATCTGCTATACTTAGGAATGAACGCATTCTAACTGAATGCCACTATGTTCATATTACAGATTCCCCAACCTCACTCGTGGCTTCATTTTAGCATTTAATTCAATTCCCAATCTCATTTGGGCCATGAAATTATCAAATAAGCACATTACATATATGAAAACATGAATCATTTTTTACCCCGACCGGGACACGAACCTAGGACTTATGATTACTAAGTCAAGGTGCTACCACTACACCACAGAAGGTTCAAAGGAATCCAACCTTATAAATTATATCTGCTATACTTAGTAATGAATGCATTCTATCTGAATGCCACTATGTTCATATTACAGATTCCCAAACCTCACTCGTGGCTTCATTTTAGTATTTAATTCAATTCCCAATCTCATTCGGGCCATGAAAATATCAAATAAGCACATTACATATGTGAAAACATGAATTAATTTTTACCCCGACTGGGACTCGAACCCATGACTTATGATTACTAAGTCAAGGCGCTACCACTACACCACAGAAGGTTAAAAGGAATCCAACCTTATAGCTTATATCTGCTATACTTACGAATGAACGCATTCTAACTGAATGCCACTATGTTCATATTACAGATTCCCCAACCTCACTCGTGGCTTCATTTTAGCATTTAATTTAATTCCCAATCTCATTCGGGCCATGAAATGATCAAATAAGCACATTACATATGTGAAAACATGAATAATTTTTTACCCCGTCCAGGACTCGAACCTAGGACTTATGATTACTAAGTCAAGGCGCTACCACTACACCAGAGATGGTTAAAAGGAATCTAACCTTATAGCTTATATCAGCTATACTTAGGAATGAACGCATTCTAACTGAATGCCACTCTGTTCATATTACAGATAACCAACCTCACTCGTGGCTTCATTTTAGCATTTAATTCAATTCCCAATCTCATTCGGGCCATGAAATGATCAAATAAGCACATTACATATGTGAAAACATGAATAATTTTTTACCCTGACCGGGACTCGAATCTAGGACTTATGATTACTTAGTCAAGGCGCTACCACTACACCACAGAAGGTTAAAAGGAATCCAACCTTATAGCTTATATCTGCTATACTTAGTAATGAACGCATTCTAACTGAATGCCACTATGTTCATATTACAGATTCCTCAACCTCACTCGTAGCTTAATTTTAGCATTTAATTCAATTCCCAATCTCATTCGGGACATGAAATTATCAAATAAGCACATTACATATGTGAAAACATGAATCATTTTTTAACCTCGACCGGGACTCGAACCTAGGACTTATGATTACTAAGTCAAGGCGCTACCACTACACCACTGAAGGTTAAAAGGAATCCAACCTTATAGCTTATATCTGCTATACTTAGGAATGAACGCATTCTAACTGAATGCCACTATGTTCATATTACAGATTCCCCAACCTCACTCGTGGCTTCGTTTTAGCATTTAATTCAATTCCCAATCTCATTCGGGCCATGAAATTATGAAATAAGCACATTACATATGTGAAAACATGAATAATTTTTTACCCCGACCAGGACTCGAACCTAGGACTTATGATTACTAAGTCAAGGCGTTACCACTACACTAAAGAAGGTTAAAAGGAATCCAACCTTATAGCTTATATCTGCTATACTTAGGAATGAACGCATTCTAACTGAATGCCACTATTTTCATATTACAGATTCCCAACCTCACTTGTTGCTTCATTTTAGCATTTAATTCAATTCCCAATCTCATTCGGGACATGAAATGATCAAATAAGCACAATACATATGTGAAAACATGAATCATTTTTTACCCCGACCGGGACTCAAACCTTGGACTTATGATTACTAAGTCAAAGCGCTACCACTACACCACAGATGGTTAAAAGGAATCCAACCTTATAGCTTATATCTGCTATACTTATGAATGAACGCATTCTAACTGAATGCCACTATGTTTATATTACAGATTCCCCAACCTCACTCGTGGCTTCATTTTAGCATTTAATTCAATTCCCAATCTCATTCGGGCCATGAAAATATCAAATAAGCACATTACATATGTGAAAACATCAATCATTTTTTACCCCGACCGGGACTTGAACCTAGGACTTATGATTACTAAGTCAAGGCGCTACCACTACACCACAGAAGGTTCAAAGGAATCCAACCTTATAGCTTATATCTGCTATACTTAGGAATGAACGCATTCTAACTGAATGCCACTATGTTCATATTACAGATTCCCCAACCTCACTCGTGGCTTCATTTTAGCATTTAATTCAATTCCCAATCTCATTCGGGCCATGAAATTATCAAATAAGCACATTACATATGTGAAAACATGAATCATTTTTTACCTTGACCGGGACTCGAACCTAGGACTTATGATTACTTAGTCAAGGCTCTACCAATACACCACAGAAGGTTAAAAGGAATCCAACCTTATAGCTTATATCTGCTATACTTAGGAATGAACGCATTCTAACTGAATGCCACTATGTTCATATTACAGATTCCCCAACCTCACTCGTGGCTTCATTTTAGCATTTAATTCAATTCCCAATCTCATTCGGGAGATGAAATGATCAAATAAGCACATTACATATGTGAAAACATGAATCATTTTTTACCCCGACCGGGACTCGAACCTAGGACTTATGATTACTAAGTCAAGGCGCTACCACTACACCACAGAAGGTTAAAAGTAATCCAACCTTATAGCTTATATCTGCTTTACTTAGGAAAGAACGCATTCTAACTGAATGCCACTATGTTCATATTACAGATTCCCCAACCTCACTCGTGGCTCCAGTTTAGCATTTAATTCAATTCCCAATCTCATTCAGGCCATGAAATTATCAGATAAGCACATTACATATGTGAAAACATTAATCATTTTTTTCCCCGACCGGGACACGAACCTAGGACTTATGATTACTAAGTCAAGGTGTTACCACTACACCACAGAAGTTTAAAAGGAATCCAACCTTATAGCTTATATCTGCTATACTTAGGAATGAACGCATTCTAACTGAATGCCACTATGTTCATATTACAGATTCCCCAACCTCACTCGTGGCTTCATTTTAGCATTTAATTCAATTCCCAATCTCATTTGGGCCATGAAATTATCAGATAAGCACATTACATATATGAAAACATGAATCATTTTTTACCCCGAAAGGGACACGAACCTAGGACTTATGATTACTAAGTCAAGGTGCTACCACTACACCACAGAAGGTTCAAAGGAATCCAACCTTATAAATTATATCTGCTATACTTAGGAATGAACGCATTCTAACTGAATGCCACTATGTTCATATTACAGATTCCCAAACCTCACTCGTGGCTTCATTTTAGTATTTTATTCAATTCCCAATCTCATTCGGGCCATGAAAATATCAAATAAGCACATTACATATGTGAAAACATGAATTAATTTTTACCCCGACTGGGACTCGAACCTATGACTTATGGTTACTAAGTCAAGGCACTACCACTACAGCACAGAAGGTTAAAAGGAATCCAACCTTATAGCTTATATCTGCTATACTTAGGAATGAACGCATTCTAACTGAATGCCACTATGTTCATATTACAGATTCCCCAACCTCACTCGTGGCTTCATTTTAGCATTTAATTCAATTCCCAATCTCATTTGGGACATGAAATTATCAAAAAAGCACCTTACATATGTGAAAACATGAATCATTTTTTACCCCGACCGGGAGTAGAACATAGGACTTATGATTACTAAGTCAAGGCGCTACCACTACACCACAGAAGGTTAAAAGGAATCCAACCTTATAGCTTATATCTGCTATACTTACGAATGAACGCATTCTAACTGAATGCCACTATGTTCATATTACAGATTCCCCAACCTCACTCGTGGCTTCATTTTGGCATTTAATTTAATTCTCAATCTCATTCGGGCCATGAAATGATCAAATAAGCACATTACATATGTGAAAACATGAATAAGTTTTTACCCCGTCCAGGACTCGAACCTAGGACTTATGATTATTAAGCCAAGGCGCTACCACTACACCAGAGATGGTTAAAAGGAATCCAACCTTATAGCTTATATCAGCTATACTTAGGAATGAACGCATTCTAACTGAATGCCACTATGTTCATATTACAGATTACCAACCTCACTCGTGGCTTCATTTTAGCATTTAATTCAATTCCCAATCTCATTCGGGCCATGAAATGATCAAATAAGCACATTACATATGTGAAAACATGAATCATTTTTTACCCCGACCTTGACTCGAACCTAGTACTTATGATTACTTAGTGAAGGCGCTACCACTACACCACAGAAGGTTAAAAGGAATCCAACCTTATAGCTTATATCTGCTATACTTAGTAATGAACGCATTCTAACTGAATGCCACTATGTTCATATTACAGATTCCCCAACCTCACTCGTGGCTTAATTTTAGCATTTAATTCAATTCCCAATCTCATTCGAGACATGAAATTATCAAATAAGCACATTACATATGTGAAAACATGAATAATTTTTTAACCTCGACCGGGACTCGAACCTAGGAGTTATGATTACTAAGTCAAGGCGCTACCACTACACCACGGAAGGTTAAAAGGAATCCAACCTTATAGCTTATATCTGCTATACTTAGGAATGAACGCATTATAACTGAATGCCACTATGTTCATATTACAGATTCCCCAACCTCACTCGTGGCTTCGTTTTAGCATTTAATTCAATTCCCAATCTCATTCGGGCCATGAAATTATGAAATAAGCACATTACATATGTGAAAACATAAATCATTTTTTACCCCGACCGGGACTCGAACCTAGGACTTATGATTACTAAGTCAAGGCGCTACCACTACACTAAAGAAGGTTAAAAGGAATCCAACCTTATAGCTTATATCTGCTATACTTACGAATGAACGCATTCTAACTGAATGCCACTATGTTCATATTACAGATTCCCAACCTCACTTGTTGCTTCATTTTAGCATTTAATTCAATTCCCAATCTCATTCGGGACATGAAATGATCAAATAAGCACAATACATATGTGAAAACATGAATCATTTTTTACCCCGACCGGGACTCGAACCTTGGACTTATGATTACTAAGTCAAAGCGCTACCACTACACCACAGATGGTTAAAAGGAATCCAACCTTATAGCTTATATCTGCTATACTTAGGAATGAACGCATTCTAACTGAATGCCACTATGTTTATATAACAGATTCCCCAACCTCACTCGTGGCTTCATTTTAGCATTTAATTCAATTCCCAATCTCATTCGGGCCATGAAAATATCAAATAAGCACATTACATATGTGAAAACATGAATCATTTTTTACCCCGACCGGGACTCGAACCTAGGACTTATGATTACTAAGTCAAGGCGCTACCACAGCGCCTTGACTTAGTAATCATAAGTCCTAGGTTCGAGTCCCGGTCGGGGTAAAAAATGATTCATGTTTTCACATATGTAATGTGCTTATTTGATAATATATATATATATATATATATATATATATATATATATATATATATATATATATATATATATATATATATATATATATATATATATATAATACACGGCGAGGGAACTCATGAATGACTGCTAATTAGAAATCGAAGGAACGCTGAATGAGCGTAGCAGGTAAATGGAACAGAATGAGAGGGGAAAAAACAACAGAATAAAAGAAAGACACCTCACTTCCCTCTTTCCCCTCCCTTCCTTAAATAAAATAAAAAATAAATAAAAAGTAGAGTGAATTCCGGAAAGAATGAAAAGTATGTGAGGGAAGAAGGGAGGAGAGAACTGGAGGGAAAAAAAGAGAGAGAGAGGGGAGAGGCGACCCTCCCATACCGTTATTATTACTTTATTGTGATATTGCTTATATGTGGATGGCATGATATTGGTTTGAGAGAGAGAGAGAGAGAGAGAGAGAGAGAGAAGAGAGAGAGAGAGAGAGAGAGAGAGAGAGAGAGAGAGAGAGAGAGAGAGCAATTATAAATTGCAATGGGAAGTCTTCACCAAAATAGTAAAATACTAAACGATACCGAACTAAACTATTACCATTGCAAAAGCATAAGTAAGCTTAAAATTACATGCGCAATAATAATAATAATAATAATAATAATAATAATAATAATAATAATAATAATAATAATAATACTAATCCTAATAATAATAATATAAATGATGAGATTTATCAAAGAATGCTCATATATATATATATATATATATATATATATATATATATATATATATATATATATATATATATATATATATATATATATATATATATATATATATATATATATATTATATATATATATACATATATATTTGGGGGGGGGTAGTAGGAGAGAAGGAAGGGTAGGAACAGCATAGGTGTTAAGCAATTAAACGTTGCTCAGGGTTGTTGGAACTTCGAAGCCCAATTTGTGGTCGTTAAGTTATGCTGTGTCCTGGGAGAGAAGGAAGAGAGAAGGGATAAAGGGGGAAATCAGAGAGAGAGAGAGAGAGAGAGAGAGAGAGAGAGAGAGAGAGAGAGAGAGAGAGGAGAGAGAGAGAGGAGAGAGAGGAGAGAGAGAGAGAGAGAGAGAGAGAGCGAAGACTATTTTGCGGCTCAATTTAAATTCTGTAAACACAACTCAATGTATATATATATATATATATATATATATATATATATATATATATATATATATATATATATATATATATATATATAATATATATATATATATATACTAATTGTTATATATTATTATTGTTATTATTATTATTATCATTATTTTTATTATTATTATTATTATTATTATTATTATTATTATTATTATTATTATTATTATTATCATTATTATTATTATTCATTATTATTATTATTATTATTATTATTATTATTATTATTATTATTATTATTATTACTATCATTATTATTTTGGTCTTAAAAATATTTTAAGAGCAAATAAATAACAATAGACTTAAGAATCAATTCACTCGTCACAGAGTAACCACATATTTCTATAAAACACAAAAAATACTATTGTGATTTTATTACTTCCTCTGTCGTAAGAAAAGAGGAATATTTTGAGAGCATATGACTGGCATCCTACTTAGTACATCCTAAGCCCTTCTATTAACTGTTCTGTGGCAAAATTTAAGTTACCTTTTCTATTACGGAAAAAAATATCAGCAATATAATTGTCAGCCTTTATTGTATTCGCCACATTGTAACACCCCTTCCATTATCTGTTCTTAGTCCAAAAATTTTGTCATCTGTTAAGTGACAAGGGAAAAATATCCAGAAAAGGCGATTGGCAGCGTTTACTATACCCTGCACATCCTTGCCCCTTCTACTCACTGTTGTATGGCCAGGAAAAAAAGTAGCAAGAGGTAAAAAGTGACTGACAGCTTTTATTTATAACCTGCACATCTTAATCCCTTCAATTAGCTATTCTGTAACTTCTCTTCTATTAACTGTTCTGCGGCAGCAAAGGAAATTCCGGGACGATGTGATTGGCAGCCCTTTCCTGCTAATTAATATGCACATATATTTGCAAAATTACTTCCGTCTCTTTCGTGGTCCTTTACCGATGGATTTTCGTTTCTTGAAATTAATATATTTGATAAATTATTATTTATCAATTATTATTATTATTATCATTATTATTATTGTCTCAGGGTCAAATATATAGCAAAATCAACTTAAAGTCTATTTATTTCAGTTATTTGTCTGTATGTGGGGTCATATACATTCCAACTGTTTGATTTTACAGATGTAATATCACATCAGACTCTTCGTCCTCGTATTAATTCAAAGGCTCTTTAAAAATAACCAGTGCAAAAAGGAAATAAAATGTGTTCATTTCTTTTATTTAATTTGTCTTCACGCCAGTGAAGCTGGATCGCTGCAAGGTCTTCCGTCTTCCACATTCATCATAGAAATTGCGCTCGCAGGAAGGAACTCGGCACACGCGCATACGCACACATCACATACTCTACCCCCTATCGTGACTTGTCGCTGATCACGAAAATACACATACACGCAGTACCTTGTAATCAGAATTTGCGTTCGACCCCACGAATCAACAAAACAAAACTTAAAATATAATACGAAGTCAGGCTTTGCATATGCCAAAGTTTGACTCGATGTTCATAATTGTCTGATAGTCAACGTTTGGCGACAAATAATATGTGAACTTGCCATCGTTTGGCGACAAACGAACAGTGTACGTCATCATTTGGAAAAAAAAATGTGTATGCGTCATTGTATGGTTACAAAGACACTGTCTATTCGCCATAGTTCGGTGACAAAGAAATTGCGCATTCATCATCATTTGGCGACAAACTAATTGTATATCTGTCACCGTTTGCCGACAGTCAAATGGCATATTCGCTATATTATGCTGACGATATAACGTATTGGAAAACTGCAGATCTAATGTACACTTACTACGTTTTTTACAAGTTTATAAGTGCTTCCCAATCATGAGCATTATATTCTAAGATTAAGTAAAAGTATGTGTGCGAGTGTATATATATATATATATATTATATATATATATATATATATATATATATATATATATATATATATATATATATATATATATATATATATATATATATATATATATATATTACCTCACACATAAGAGCCATTTTCCCCCTAAAAGGAGAGTGGCTGAGTCAAGGCAAAATACCTAACTCTTAGGGGAGAAAACTTTAGTGGAGGGGATTTCCAGCCTCCTCCCTCCGCCCCATTTAGCTGACTCTTACGAGACGCAGGGGAACACTGAGGAAGTATTCTAGCCCCCTCCCTCAGGGTGTGTGTGTGTGTGTATATATATATATATATATATATATATATATATATATATATATATATATATATATATATATATGCTCTAAATATATACATTTTCCACTTTTGCATTCTGAAAACATAAGTACATAGAATCTGTTACGGGGATAAATAAAATTTAAAAGTGGCATGATAGCGGAGAAAATAAATACAATGATAGTTTAAAAAGTGAACACA